TTCACCCTTGCTAGGAGAGCACTCCACTGCTGAGCCACAACCCCCAGCCCAAAATTTTAATTTTTTTTAATTTTAAAAATAAATTTTAGGATCTGGGGTTGTGGCTCAGCGGTAGAGCGCTTACCTCGAACACATGAGGCACTGGGTTTGATCCTTAGCACTATATAAAAATAAATAAAGATTAAAAAAATTAAAATTTTGTGTTGTAGGTATATAAACGGCAAAATGTTAATGGTCGGTGAATCTAGGTGAAGAGCATACACCTGGTCATTGTTTATCTGTTTAGTGGCGCTGGGGCTTGAACCCAGGACCTCATATATGCTAGGCAGGCGCTGTACTGCTGAGCCACACCCCCAGGCCTCTGGTCATTATTCTATCCTTGCAATTTTTCAATAGGTCTGAAAACTTTCAAAATAAAATTAGGGAACAAAAAAGAAATAGAGAACACTTGGGCAGCTTTGGAGCCAGGTGGGATGGGAGGTTTCCGACATTATGGTGCATGGAGCAAGCCCTGTGTGGGGCTGGGCTCAGGAATGACAGATGGGGAGACGGCTGGGGAAAGACGGCCACGGTGCAGGGGATCAGGCAGGGGCAGAGGGAGGGGCCGGAGCTGGGCAAACCCCAGGGGAAATACTTCTTTCTCACATCACTGCGCAAGTCTCAGAGGAGTAAAAATGTGTTTTCTGGAAGGTTTATCACCATGAAAGAAGTATTTATACTTCACAGTGTGGTATTTGTCTCCACCGAGGGTGCCCCACCCAAGTGCTAAAAGATCTGGCTTAACCCTCCATTGGTAAATATCCAGGGAAAGTCCTGCCATGATCTGGGCTTCCTGTAACCCACGAACCCATCATCTAGGCGAAAAGGAGAACAAAAGCAGAATGAGTTCGCCAAACTGTGGTCTGAGGGGCCCAGGATTGGCCACAGCTTGATTTAGAAGACTTGGAGAAGGCCCTTTCCTTCGCTCTTCCATAAGGACAAGAAAGATTTGTAATTGTTGCATCTGACAGCAACCCACCCCCAAAAAAGTAACAAAACAAACAAAAACAAACCCAGTAGTGGCAGTGCTGCAGACGAACTCCTTAGATCTCTTTATGCCACTGTATGGCACTGACAGTAAATGACAGCGGTTGTCATTGTTAGTATATATGCTCTTATTATGAAGTAGGGATTCATAGAAATCCACCCACACCCCTGCATCCCACATGGTGTAGCGGTCAAGAACTGGCTCCTGGGATCGCACCTGTGTCCAGCACTGGAGTGGATACGGTATCTCTCATCTAGATTCCCTTGGCCAGCTGACGTCAGCTAATGATGTCTCATCGTTTCCCTTTCCCTGGAGGACGATTTTTTTAAAAGAATTCTCTTTAGCTGTAGTTGGACATAGTAACTTTATTTATTTTTTTGTCGTGCTGAAGACTGAACCCAGTGCCTCACACGTGCTAGGCAAGCTCTGCCACAGAGCCACAACCCCAACCCTGGAGAATGATTCTTGCCCAGTCAAAGTCCCGGACCAAGAAGGCTACACACCTCTTATGTTCTCAGCTCAGGGGACGGCCTCAGTCAAGGACTGGTTGGAATGGGAATGCAAATGGTAGCCTGCTTCATGGCGGTCCACTTTGTGGTGCCATGTGTGGAGTCTGACCTCGGTGAGTCTCTAGGCAAGATGCATCCTTTCTCTGTCTTTCTCCCCTCCTCTCCCCTCCCGCTTCCCCCGCTCTTCTCCTCCTCAGGCCTTTCCCTCAATAAAACACTTGAGACAGAATCCCTGACTTGGGCTCTGCTTCTAGGATACCCAACCCAAGAAAAACATTTCCTAACAGTGGAGATTAGACACCGTAGCTGCCGTAACATAGTAGACGTTTGGTTTTAACTTGCATGGCGTCCACTTGGCAGAGCACTGGGGGAAGGTGTTCTCTGCTTTCCTCAGACTTATACCGACTGAGGCAGGGGGAGGTGCTGTTGCCTCCGTGTGTGCATCCAGGATGGCCCTGATGTCAACGTCTAGCTGAGAAATGGTGGAAAGAGAAGGTATTCCCGCTTCTCAATCCTTCGGATTCAGCCATAACAGAAGTCATTTCGGCCCATGGTGGACACTAGTCACATGGTCCACCTCGAGGCAAGGGGAGCTAGGACCCTGTCTGGACAGTCACCCCTTAGCAATGTCTCAATACCCTAGAAGGGGAGCAAGGATCTCTGCTGGGTAGTTATCTCTGCCACACTGCATGGCCTTGGGTCAATTATTTAGCTTCTGTAGGGATCTGTTTCTGTACCTATAAAATTGAGCCATGAATAGGGTCTCCCTTGAAGTTGTGGTCTATGATCACATAACTGCTTAGGCTGGGCCCTGGAACAAAATAAGGACCCATTGTGTTAACTATCTTACCATTTGTGGAGAACCGACTTGGTTTATGCATAGATCTTAATCCTTATCACCACCCGTCAGTGCAGATGACCATGGCACCTACTTTATGAAAGAGAACCACGAAGTTTGGACAATGACCCAAGGCCACATGATCGAAGGCAACTGACAAGAGCCCATAGTAAGCAGTTTTAGACACCAAGGGTGGACAGACGTGGAGTTAAACAGCTCCACTCCAGCTTTTGCCTTTGCCCCTTGAGATAGGCAAGATTCCCAAGAAGGCTGGTTGATATCCTGGCTCACGTCTGCAGCTCCAGGCCCCACCAGCCTTTCGGTTCTCATTCCCGTTGCTCTCACCCACGACGGTCCAGCCACCTGCTTCCTGTCTAACCCTTGTGAAGGCCAAGCTTGATCCCATCTTGGGCCCTTTGTACCTGCCCTTCCCCCTGCCTGGAATGCTTCTCCCGCATGTCTTTCCATGCCTGGCTCTTGCTTTTCATTCTTTTCCCAACTCAAACATCAATCACCTCCTCTGGAAGACCCTCCCTGGAGCAGTCAGCTCAGTCACTTTCACGTCCCCTGGTTTTCAGTCTTTGCCTAGCACCCAGAACCACCTAGTATTTTCCATGCCCAGGCATTTGTTTAGTGCCTGTCTCTCTTCCTAGGCTACAAGCTCAAAGAGAGCCATGGTCTCATTTGCCATGACTTCCTGGTGTCTCCAGCAACGAAGATGTTGCCTGGCACAAAGTCAAACCTCAGCCCATATTTAGTGACTCACGCAAGACGTTTACTTGAGTACCTCTGACCCTATTTGACACTTTGCCCACCCTTCCCTTCTCTCATCCTCCTGGGACACTGCTTTAGGCCATGTACAATTCCAGAAGGCCCGATTCACACGGGAACAAGGTGAATCCCTGGGAAGGGATCCATGTGACAGCATGCAACTCCACCAAGGTGGTGATAGTGCTGTAGCCATCTTTCCTTTCTCATTCATTGATTCAGTCAGTAAATATTTGTGCAGTGTCCATGGTATGTAGGGGATGCAAACACAGCAGGAGAGGAGAAAACATGTCTCTGCCTGTGCAGCAAATGTGAAATTTGCAAACAGAAAAATAGAACGCACAGAGATGGCAAAAACAAATGTGGAGTTGCAAGTTACATATTCATTCCACTTTCTCCTCTGTTCCTGTTCCCGCCCTCTTCTGCCTCTCGGTTCCATTTCACAATATCTGCATAGAGCTTCTGCAGTCACTGATTGAAGCCCCTACTCTCTCCTGTTTTGCCCCTACCTGGGGTGAAGGTTTGCATGGGCTTGCTAGAATAAATGGTTAAATAGGCAGAAGTTTGGGGATCAGGCTGTCAAACTTTTGGTAACAATATCAGATGTGGCAGGAGCAGCTGCACTGCAAAAACGGTCAACATTTGTGGATGTTGTCTTTCTGGAAAGTTGAATTTCTAGCATTCCACCTCTCCCTTCTGTTTGTGGGGAAGAAGCTTTACAATGACGAGGAGTGTCTTAACTCTTCATAGACATTCAGCCCTCCCATACCATCCCTTCCATACCATACCATCTTCCATCTTCCGTCTTCCACTCCTTCCCAGGTGGCAGGGGAATGAGCACTCCAGGGCCTCTGCTGTTCTGTGAAGGGAGATCAGAAGAGAAAGCCTAAAGGTGATGAAAACAGGAATAAAAAGGAAAGCAAGCCAAGTGCGGTGGCGCACGCCTACAATCCCAGCATCTTGAGAGGCTGAGGCAGGAGGATCACAAGTTCAAAGCCAGCCTCAGCAACTTAGTGAGGCCCTAAGCAACTCAGGGAGACCCTCTCTCTAAATAAACTATTAAAATGGGATGGGGATGTGGCTCAGAGGTTAAGGGCCCCTGTGTTCAATCTCCAGGACCAAAATAAATAAATAAATAAATAAAAGAAGTAAGAGGGTAAACTGTGGGGGGCAAAGGCTGGGGCAGGGGACATGAGGACCTGCACACTGCACCATGTCCTCACAGGCAGTTCAGCCATCCTGCCACCTGGGCTCAGAAGGTGGCCAGGCTGGGCTTAGAAGTGGGCCAGGGAGGAGTTGGAGCTGATTTCTTGGGTCTGAGGGAAGAGTAGCCACACAGATATCTGGGCCTTTAGAGGGTGGGGCCCAGGATCCATTTAGCAATGCCCTGCCCTCTCTGGCATTTCCTGTGATGCCTTAGGTAACATGAGATATATAAGGTCTGTACTTCTGGTTAAAGAGCATAAAGGGGATTTGCAGCCACAGATTAGTAATGAGCTCCACACCACTGCTGGCCCTGCTGGGGGTCACCTTCTTGCTGCCCTGTGAGTGAAGAACCTAACCTGGAAGTAGATTTCCATGGAGGTCAACTAGGAAACTAAAACTATTAAGATGGATTTGCTCCCCCTCTCCCAGGTATGCACGCCTTGGACTGCCAGTGGGCGGCCATAGAGACTGTGTTGAACACAACACAGATGCCCGTGGAGTGGACAAATGGCAAGAAAACCTGTGACTTCGGCGATGGTTGCCAAGACACCTTAATGCTCATAGAGAATGGTGAGAAGAGACCCTGAGTCCTCAGACCCGTCCCTCCCAGTACCTCACCCACTTCGCCATGAGCGACCTCTCTCTAGGATGCTGGAGTTATGAAGGCCACCTTCACCCACCTGCCCCTTCCTTTTCAGGACCCCAAGTGAACTTGGTGCTCACAAAGGGCTGCACTTCAGAAGAGGATCACGAGGTCAGAGTCACGGAGCACAGGACAGGCCCTGGGCTCTCTGTCATCTCCTACACTCATGTGTGCCGTCACAGAGACCTCTGCAATGACCTGTCCTCCTCCGTCCCTCTCTGGTCCCTGCATACTGAAAAAGGTGTCGGGGGAGTTGGGAGCTCAGGAGGAGGAGAGGGAAGGGGCTGTCTGGAGCAAGGAGCACAGGGCTGAGGGCTGACCTCAGCACCCAGGGTGAGGCTGGTATTTGCAGACTCCCCTTTGCTGGATCCCTCCCTCGGATGCGCCCTGCTCCCTCCCTGGTCCCTGGCTCTCCATCTCTTCCCCCTGCTTCCCCTCCCTCCCACTGCTCCACCCACAAGCAGCCCAGGACTCCCTGGCCCACTTCCTCCAACAGTCCTGCAGCACCCAACTGGGCCCATTCTCTGAGGCTAAACCACCAACATCAGGCTGACCTTGATCCTCAGCTGGTCAGCCTGCTCAGTCCTCCCTTCCATGCTCAGTCCTCCCTTCCATAAGTTGACTTCACTACTTTCTCTTCTGGGCTTTTGACATTTCCTCTTCTTGAGTAAGAGTGGCTGTAACTTTGCACTGTCCTCACTGGTGCTGGAAACAGTTTGGAGTGAT